ATTAAGATGCTTTGGCTTTGTATTTTTCTTTTTAAATACCTATTGTTTGCTATTTATTAATGTATAAAAATAATAAATGAACGTCGAATTTAATAGCAACATAATTTTTAATGAAAAATGACAAAAAAAATAACAAAACGATCCATTCTACAAATATTTTAAAATTTTTATTTTATTATTTGGAATAAAGAATTTTATCGATTGATTAATCAAAAAATGGTTTAAAACAGCGCCAAGTGGATTGCATCGAGATAAAATATTCAGGTCATGACTTGTCCTTACACGTGCGCAAATTTGAGACAGGACCAATCTCAGAATCGCTATGTATTTGATGCAAACGATAATTGGTCGGTGGATTTGCCTGTATGCTTATTGCCAACCAATCGAATTTATATATTATGTTTTAACCGTTGTTACGAATTCACACATGTCGTGTCGCGCGAAATCCTCGTTTCTCTTTTGTCAAGAAGTATATAGTTTTTTCTCTGTAACTTTCCTAAAATTTTTTCCGTCATTTTCCCATTGAAATGCGAATATGTTTCCAGTTCGACTCTGGGACATACAAAAATACAGAATTTAACGAGTTGAGGTTCAAGCAATGGGATTCAAAACAACGTAATTTGACGGATCGTTTTTCTTCTTTATTTATCAAGAATTACGCCCGAGAAGAAGCATGAGCTGTAGAGTGCAAAAATTCACCCGAGTAGAGCGACATGATGCAAATAAGGAATATGAGAATTGATGTGCATCGAGTTTCGTATTACGAGCGGATTCGTAAGTATTTGTCACATGCGTTAATATCACAGAGACCACAATTTTTCTTGCTCGAAGTAATTGAATATATCAGTTGTGAAATGCTTGTCCGTCGATTCATTTTGAAAATCCTTTTATGATAGACAGAATAGGATACGAAAAGACGAAAAGCAAATGCAATTTACAAATGTAAAAATGTACCTATTGAAAAATATATTTGTAAATTTCAGAGGCAATTTTATTATGAATTTATAGATATTTTACATAATCTTATATAATACGTGTATATGGAATAGGCGAGAAACTACAAATTTCCTACAGCAAGAAATTATTGAAAGTTTATTGAATTTGAGATTTGATATAATAATAATAATAATAATAATAATGTGAAATTTAAAAAATACAGAATATGATTTTTATCAATGAAAGGATTCCTTGGGTTTTTTTTATTGATATTGAAGCATGAGTTTCTATATATTAAAAATTTAATTGTCTATTTTTAATTTCTTGTTTCTTATTCTTTATATCTAGAGATTTTTATAATATGGATTGTTAGGAAAAAGATGGAAGTATACTTTTCATAAAATTTATTGTATATATTTATATTATTATTATTATTATTTCTAAAGTACAATGTTAGAAATCTTTGTTAATCAAATTTTTTATCTTCTGTTATATCTTATTGTCATGTGAAAAACATTTTTTTTAAATTATTATATTTTAATAAAATTATGCTAAAACAAAAAATTATTATAGCTAAAATAAGATTCTTAAGATAAAAGTAATTACTAGACTCAGTAGATTAAAAATCAATAGAATGAATAATATAGAGTTTAAGCATAAGTTAGATATTTATGCCTTAACATCAAAATAAAATTAATGTTATTAATGTAAAGCATAAGAATCTAACTTGTATTCGTAAGTTATAAAATATATTTATATACATGCAATTATATTAAATTAGTAATTATATTAAATACATGTAATTTAAACATGTGTTATATATATTAAATAATTAAAAACTAGTATCTAGGATTTATAAATATATATTTATATTTATTTATGAAAAATATAAGCAAAATTTAAGAATATAAATATATCTTGTTTAATATATAAAGTATAGAAAATTAGTAATATTGCAATAAATATATTATATTTATTTTTACTCTAGGTTTTTACTCTAGGTTTTCAGATATAAGATTGATTGCAATAAAATTAACAATATTTTGTTAAAAAATGGATGAAACTAATACTCGTTGGTGCTCTGCACCAGGTTGTATGGTGAATATAAAAATAATGAAGCGACATTTCTTTCGCTTTCCAAAAGATAGGAAAAGGTATTGTTTTTTTCACACTAAATTTGAAAATTTTTCTCAAAAGATTGTTTTGAACTTATATAAAGTATATAAAGTAAATATATCTATCTTCAAATTTATTTCATAATTAATATACTATATTATCTTCTTACTATTCATATAATTTTAGATGGCTAGAATGGATTAAAGCATGCAATAGAATGGATTTAATATCAATGGGACCAGAATATGCTAACCAGTACTATCGACTATGCCATTTACATTTTCGAGTAGAAATGTTTCGGAATATAGAAGGAAGAATTTACCTAAGCAAAGAAGCAGTACCCTCAATATTTTTGAAACCATTACCAATGGATAAGTAAGTAAATATTTATATATTTCGATTACTATTTATATTACATATTATAATGTTATATATAGTTTCTAAATAAAATTATTATCTTTTGAAATTATGTATATTAAACAAATGTTGAAAATTTAATTCTCTGTTTCTTGCTTTCATAGTAATAAATCTGCGAACTTGTTTCAACCAATTTCATTCGTAACTATATTTTTGAAACCAGAAAGCAGAAATAGGTGAGCTTGCAAGTTTTATTTAAATTTTTTTTCTCGAGAAAATTTTATTGGGAAAAATAGAACAATTATTAAATAATACAATTTTTTTAGAAATGTATCTACAGATTTATCACAATCTGCAGTATCTCAAACACATTCCATGGAACCCGAAGAAAGGTAAGTTTCTAAGAATAACATAATATGATTAATTATATTATTATTGCATAAAAACATTTTTTATATAGTGATACAGCTATAATTTCACCGATGCAAGCTCTTTTTCCGGGAGCATCTGTAAAACAGATGTATGAAGATAGGTAAATTTAAATTTTCTGTTTGCACATTAATATCCGTGTTTGGTTTTTAATTTGCAAGTTATTACAAATGTTACATATGTGTTACAAATGTTAAATAATATATTTAACCTTTGTCAGAAATGTATCGTTAACTCAGACGGCATTGTTGGAAATGAAGTCAGAAAATAATAATAGGTGAGTTGCAGATATGATAATGATTATATGTAAATCAGTATATGCTAATGAAGTCACCTATCTATAATATTTCAAAAAGATTAAAATATTAAAAAGTACTCGGTTATTGTAGGAATACTTCTACCACAGAGAAATTTGTCAAAGAAGTTCGTACGAATTTGATATCAACACTATCGCGAAATTCTTCAAAGGAAGAAAAATGCAATATTACGTAAGTTGCATTTTTAAAAAGCTTATATCATTTTTTAAATAAAAAAAATAATCTAAATGAACAGGACAATAGATATAGTATTACTCAACAGACAGGATTTTAAATGTTTAGTGATTTTTCTTTTTAAATTTATAAATATAAATACCATCGTATTATCTTGTTTTTTTGTTACTTAGCTCGAATTATTACATTGTTTAATCTATAAATGATCGAGTGGCTTTTTAAACAATTATATGTTAATAAAAAATAATTTTTTAATAGAGATGTCATAGATTTAACATCGATGGACTTTCTGGAATCAACAACGCCATCGAAAATGTCGGTTTGTGCAACGCAACAAAATGACAATAGGTATCTAATGAAGATTAATATTAATAAAATCTTATTAATAAAATCTTACTTTATTAAAGCAAAGAGTATAAAAATATTAATTCAACGAAAAAATTAAAATTTCTTGTTAAATGTTACAGGACACCAAAAAGAAAACATTGGAACATTTCAACGCAAACACCAGACGCGTGGTTATATGTCGATTCCTTTCTCCGTGGGAAGAAACGACTGGAGAAACCTGAGGTTGATAGTATGGAGGCGAAGCGGAGGAAAACACTCAACATGGACAATGAAGATTATTGCATGAACGTAGATAAATTTAAAGCGGCGTATACAGAATTATTACCGCGTAATTCTGCCCTGATGGTCTCGGCTTGTCTTAACGCTTACGAGAAACGTAAGGCTAAAAAGAACTTTGAGGATAGGCAATTTGCACTCAAGTTATTCTTCATGGCGTCAGGAGCGTATAGATTTTACCGGTCATTATGCTTGCTGCCTACTGTGCGTCAGTTATGGAGACACATCCGCAATTGGGATATACCACCTGGCTTGAATGACAACGTGTTTAATGCGTTGCATTTGAAGATAAAGTCATTACCACCAGCGGAGAGACGTTGCTCTCTAAGTGTGAGTGAAATGCAGTTGAAGCCGCATCTCTTCTATAATTTGTCGCGTGACAGAATTGTTGGTTTCCATGACATCGGTACGGAGAAGCGGCGCACACTAACGAGAAAGGTCTTGGTGATGATGGCACATAGTTTGGCCAGTGACTGGGAACAGCCTATTGCTTATTATTTCCACAGTGGTACATGTCACGCCGATGTCATGAAAAATCTGATATTCCAGGCAATAATTAAACTGAATAACATCGGTGCAACTGTCCACGCTTTGATTACCAATACATCACCGACATTCCTACGATTATCACGGTTATTAGCGATCTCTGCAGAACGTCCATCATTCCTCGTGAACGATGAGAAAGTATTTTATATTTTTGATGTTACACGACTAATGAGAGTAACTAGAAACGTGTTCAGAGATCACGAGTTCCGCTTTCGTGAGAAGAGAGCTTCATGGACGGATATCGAGCTCTTCTTCAGACGCGACAGCCAGATGCGACTGCCGTTGGCTCCTAAATTGTCTGTGGGCCACCTTGAGCCCAACAGATGTCAAAAGATTGAAACCAAGTACGCCGTTCAAGTTTTCAGTAACAGTATAGCTGCAGGTCTGAGTACGCATATAGCATCCGGTGAGTTACCATTGGAAACGATCGGAACGATGGAGTTAGTACACAATTTTGATCAGTTGTTTGATATTCTCAACTCTTCTGCATCGACTAAATCGAACACGAAAGATTTTGGACAAGCTTTCACAGGTAATACGCACGAGATGAACTTCTTACAGCAGATGCTCGACTTTCTGAAGTCGATCAAGATAATCGACAGAAACGGCATGTATGTTAAGTCGATCAAGTGTTTCGATCGTTGGCAGATCACGATCAATGCGGTTATTCAACTGTGGGACGTGCTAAAAGAACACCAGGTCTCCTTTCTCTATACGAAGAGACTGAATCAGGAAGGCATCGAGCGCGTTTTTCGTTCCATTAGACGGCAAAGCGGAAATCGCGTCAAGCCCACACCTATCTTGTTTACTCGTGCGTTCAAAAATCTCGTTAGTAAACACTTCCTCGAGCATTCTAGCGGAGGCGATCCCGCCCTGAACGGGCGGAGGATGCTCAAGCGAATAGCGTCGGTACCATCGGTACCATCGGTATCCTGTCCAGTTGATGATATTCCGCCCACCGTTCAAATAGCTTTGAATATTGCGGCGACGAATTATCGCAACATCGATTTACGACTGCCCGAGAAAAGTGCATTTAAACGTGTATGCGAATTTCTACTCAACGAGTGCTTGCGGGTGCATATTAATTGCGACATATGCATGACCTATGCCATTAATGAGGGTAGTTTGTCTAGTAGGGATACGTCAAACACCTTCAATCTCTATATTTCTGGTTTGGAGGATACGTTTATGCGCAATTTCGAAAAGCTCTCCATCGAGGAAAACCTCGGTGCGCAGATGTTGCAACTCGCGCAGCGAGTCGAATATAAACCACCCTGTCCGGATTTCCCGGTCGCTTTCCTGGTTAAACTGTTTTTACGTATGCGAATATATTTTACGCTGTTGCGACATAACAAGATCTGTAAAGGTATGGAACTACGAAATTCTTTGAATGTGATACAGTTGTAAACTACTCGTTTCTATTACGTTATCTGCATTCAGTTTTATTTGTTTTTCATTTGCGTTTATTTTTTTTTTGTTTTTACCGATTACTATTTTATTAATCAGCATTATTTCTTTACATGATGATAGATATAATGCCTAAAAGTAAGCATTTAATATTGAGTTTTCGTTGAGTAATCAAATGAATTTAATTTTATGATTAATATTTGAAGAAAAGTATTTCATATTTAGCGAATATATTCGTGTTGAATATGAATTTTCACAGAGATTAAATTTATAAATGTAACTTACGTGTTTTTAAACATGATGATTTTGCAATCATCTTTTTTATAT